TTGTGATTCATCTAGCCCCGCCCTGCCTATTTAACTTATATGCAGAGCACATCATGAGAAAGGCGGGGCTAGATGAATCTCCAGTTGCAATTAAGGTTGCTGGGAGAAATATCAACAACCTCAGATATGCAGATGATACCACTCTAATGGCAGAAAGTGAAGAGGAACTAAAGAGCCTCTTGATGCAGGTGAAGGAGGAGCGTGCAAAAGTTGGCTTAAAACTCAACATTAAGAAAACTAAGATCATGGCAAACTAAGATCTATTTGTGGTAATAGATGGGGAAGAAATGGAGGTAGTGACAGATTTCATTTTCCTGGGCTCCAAGATCACCGCAGACGGGGAATGCAGCCAAGAAATTAAGAGATGCTTGCTCCTGGGGAGGAAAGCTATGGCAAATCTAGACAGCATACTAAAAAGCAGAGGCATCACCCTGCCAACAAAAGTGCGCATAGTCAAGGCTATGGTTTTCCCAGTTGCAATGTATGGCTGTGAAAGCTGGACCATAAGGAAGGCTGAGCGCCAAAGGATTGAGGCCTTTGAATTGTGGTGCTGGAGGAGACTCCTGCAAATCCCTTGGACTGTAAGGTGATCAAACCGGTCAGTCCTAGAGATCAACCCTGACTGCTCTTTAGAAGGCCAGATCCTGAAGATGAAACTCAAAATACTTTGTCCACCTAATGAGAAGGAAGGACTCCCTGGAGAAGAGCCCAGTGCTGGGAACAATAGATGGCAAAAGAAGAAGGGGACAGCAGAGGATGAGGTGGCTAGATGGAGACACTGAGGCAGTGGGTGTGAGCTTAGGTGGACTCCGGGGGATGGTGGAGGACAGGAAGGCCTGGAGGAATGTGGTCCATGGGGTCGCGATGGGTCGGACACGACTTCGCGACTAACAACAACAACAAAATGTGAAGGTTCAAAGTTATGAAAGTAGTGAATGAAAAAATGGCTAGAAATAGTGGTAAGAAGCCAGAGGAAGTTGGGGAGGGGATCCACAGTGCATCATCCTTAGCATCCCTTTAGCTCTATTGACTCTCCCTTTCCCACAGTTTTTTAATGCCAACTATTCCCTAACTATCTTCCTATCACTAGGCTTCCTTTTCCTCATTTCACTTGCTATTGTATTCAGAGCAATAGATTTTCATTTTTTAATGAAAGCACAAATTAGTATACCTCTCATAACCTGTTATCAATTTAGGGTGTGGCCCTATGCATGTTTACCCAGCAAAATTCACCAGCAAGTCTTTTTTCTGTCTAAAGATGCTGTGCCTTAAATTGCTAACCTCATCATAAGATAACTGAACTTGGCTGAAACAGATGAGTGGTTGTCAGCAAGTTTCTCTGGATTGCTAACACTGATTAGGATTCTTAGACAGAAACCCGTACAACTCCCAACATTTCCTGTTCAGCATGGCTAAGTGGAGCATGCTGGGATCGTAGGACTTGTCCCGATGTAAACATACATTGGAAAACATACATTGGACTGCACCCCTTAGATGCAGAAGTGGGGGTGGCTGCTGAGAGACTAGGGACCTGCTGGCAATGGCAGGATCAACTTATATCCTAACATCAGGTTATAAGGGCTTGGCCTCTCCCTCTCCCTCTCCACGACCCATACATGGACTTGAGAATCTGGCTGTAGGAAGGCCAAAAGACTTCAGACAAAACTGTTCTTTGCTCTCTCCATGTCTGCAACCTGTTCAGTCACGCATGTGAGCCCCCCACTTCTGGACCGATCTGTTTCTCAATGGGAGTGGCCACCATTTCAAACTCCTTTTGGCAGCGCCAGTATGTTGCTGTATTTTGCTCAGGGATGGAGCTGGCTAACTTTGAAGGAGAGCATTGTGGGAAGGAGCCTGATGCTGCTTCTCCTGCACTCAAGGTTGCTGGGGGAAACTCAGTTTGGCCTGAGGTTTTTCCTTTAGCCAGCTCAGCATAAAATAGCTTATTTTAGCAAGAATAACGGGTGAAAGAAACACAGGTAAAATGTGGTAAAATCACATTCAACCAGTTACAGTTTCAGTCAGTGCTAAATTCTTTGTGTATACGCCAGATAATATTTCCTTGCCTCCACCCTCCCTCCTTCCACACAGAGCAGAGAACAACATGCCATGCCCAACTTAGGCAAAGAATCTGCCACACACACGCACATAGAAATGAATTATGATCAGAAGAGCACAATGAAAGAACGGCTCTGTTGTAAACAGTGAAAAAATAACTGGCGCATGTTCTTTCTCTCTCTCAGCTCCAGTACTCCAAGAGAAAAAAACTAATGGCAGTTTTTTCACAGAAATGTGCCATACATACAAGAAGCCCACGTAACACTATCAGATGAACAGAGAGAGCATAAGACTTGGCTATCAGTAATCTTCTCAAAATAGAAGGAAGAAAATGTTAACAGTTTATGTTTTTACAGTTTCCTCACATACCAAGCCATAAGAACTTTAAGCACTCAGAGACTGTATTACCTTAAAATATTCTCAAACTGTTTTCCTTGAGAACACTTCTCTCCTTGAAATACTAACTTCCTGATATGCACAGAAAGAATGTTTATTCCAGTAAATAGTATTATGAGACAATTTGATGGAATGTTAGTGGGTGAAAAGCTAATGTTAGAACAAAAAT